TTGGGGTTTTTTCCTGGGGGGCATGACCCAGGGCACAAAAAAAACGCGTTTCAGAGCAACGGGGGGGCGCGGACGGATTGGGGGGGGGGGGGCGTACTCTTGTGTTTTCTATGTCTCAGCGGGTAGACTATTGACCACGCGTCCTCGAGAGGACGGAGCATTGTTCCCACGGGACCGATGGGCGATCGTTCCTTCCTACTCTGCCAAAGGTGGCTCGAGAATGTTTAAGAGGCGTAGGGGGCGTTAGGATTGGGGAGTTTTGTGATGTTGTGTTGAATTTTTGTCAGGAAAGGCGTGCGTGCTGCTGCTTGTTTGTTTTGTCTGTCTCTCGTGTTGTGTGTGGCGTGGCTTCGACGCTGGCAATCATTCGTAGGCTTACGATTCGACATGGGTTGCTTTGTTTATTCCGGCTCAGATTGGGTGCCATCGAGTTCCGTACTTGCCCGATGCGAGATGGCTTGGCAAGACTCACGCCAAGCATATCAGATATACCGAGGAGTGGCAGAGCGCTTTTGAGATGACGTCTCCCCCCTGACAGTGTGGAGTGACATCGGAGTAGGGAGGGACATGTACTGGCTCGAGGCGAAAGCGCGGGAGGCGTTTCACTCTGAGAACAGATGCATGCGTCGACTGCGTCGACCGATTGTTAGTTTCGCGGGTGATCGTGCGCAAAGCACGCTCATGCCTGTGTAGAAAGAAAGAAGCACGCCCAATCTGACGGAGGTAGGTCTCCGTCCTGCCGCCGAGTAGGCCATGAATCGAGCTCATCGCACGTTGCCGCCAGTTATGTGAAGGCCCTTGTATTTGTTTTCATGCAACCCATTTCCGGTTTTTCTTTCTCTTTTTTTTGTCGCTTGAGAGGTTCGTTAGCATTCGGTTGCGGGGATAGGGGACGGGTTGCTGGACAAGCTAATACTCGTATTCCTGGCCTTAGCGACGTAGTCTACTCATTCTTCGGCTACGCTCTGTGTGACTTGTTCAAGGGTTAATTCCTTTGGAGTGGTGTCCATATTTTCTTGTCATCTTTGGAGGTGTGATACATCTTTTTGTGAAGAACGAGATAGATAGCGGTGTGGAAATCGACCACGCCTGACTCCGTTCATGCTGGCCTCTCTTGTCGCCTCGTCTTGGTCTTCTGTTGTTGTGGCGTGCGGGGTCGTACTAATAGTTAAAGAAGTATAGTAAAAAGTAGCACTCAAGCGTTCGGCGTGTAGATGGCAGCACCGGCACCATGTGACCTTAAAGGTCGACCGGCGACAGCAATGACGGCTTGTGAGACACTTCGTAATAGTAGATAGACCAACTTGCTTGGTCGCCTCATGAAGGTATCAACAAACCACCGCCAAATGCTTTTCTTAGAAAATCTTGCCTAGAACGGCACGTCCTCTGTGTTCTTATTTCCGATGTGGGAACCGCGCCACAGACATTTGAGGCTTCTCAGGGAACATGCGTTCCGTGGGTGTCGGTTCGGCTGTGCCAACCGCCTTACTCGTTAGCGACGTGTGCCTGGTACCCCCGCAGTTTTCTGATTGATCAACAAACCTTGCGCCGATTTTTTTTTCTGAGATGACCGAAGATCCTTGGTTGGGTGGCAATGACAGCAGTTTTGTCCACGGTCAATCGGTCAGACACAATCTTGGGACACTCCAACAAAAGGTGCGTATTGATTGGTGTTCGAGTGGGGCTCCCTGGCAGCGAAGGAGTGGGGGGGGTGTACTAATGAAAAACCATGCGGTCGTCGGTAGACCATGGACCTCGCATCCCTACAACGTCGGAACGGAGCGATATGCTGGGTTTTCGCCGGCCCAGGCGACGTTTCACAACGGCGAGAACCAGAACCTGGTCATCCTACTGTTGCTTTTGCTGTGTCAAACCACACGTGTCATGCGTTGATTGGGCATCGCCGGTTTTCCGTGTGGCGGGAGCGCATATGCCCATCGGCCCACACCTCACGAATATATCTCGTGAAACTCTGGAATTCGAGGTGCCATTCTCCTGCTCGCTTCCAACAACAGCGGTCGCGGTTAACCCGGGGATACTTGTGACTGAATCCTCGGGTTTTCTAGGCACTGCGCACTGTTGTGTGTGGTCACTCATCAGCTTGCTGTGTCCGCGCTGGAACACAAACAAGGCACAAATGTCGTGATTGCCACTCGCGCTGCGTCATGCGTTGGACACCCAACCAAACGGTACACGAAATCCTCTCTTACGCCTGTAAGGTACTAGGCTCCCCCCCCTTCCACCCCCTTTTGTCCAAACGCAAGGATGATGACACTATCAGCTTCTGGTTCATCTTTGTGAACCGTACCGTAGCCTGGGCCGGCGAAAACCCGGTAATCGCTCCGCCCCGGCATTGTAGGGATGCGAGGTCAATGGTCTTCACGACTACGGCATGCGTTTACACTAGTACACCCTTTGCCTGCTCTATTGGTCTCGCTTGGAACGACGCCTTCAGCGAGTCAGCGACATCGACCGTGCTCTCCAGCCACGGCTTTGCTAACAAGAAGGCGGCGTCCCCTGTGCCTATGCAAGGATGGGTTATCCCGATCATTATCTAAACGACAAGCTCGAAACAAGGTTAAGGTAGACTTGACACGACCAAGACCAGCCGCTACAGTACGCATATAGGGACAATTTTTCGCGTGGCGGTTTGACAGACCCTCTGTACGCCCTGCGTTGAAGGATTGCCTCTCTACTCCGTGACTGTGGAAACAATTTAGGAAGTATTGTACTTGTGGCAGCGGTCAAAAACACAGCACGATAAGATACAAGGGATCCCCTCAGGAGTGGGCTCATGATATGACACATGTCACCAAGGGGTGATGCAAGACGAAAATGCAGTCTTTGGCAGCAGGGCCAGCTCAACAGCTCACACAGCTGACGTGTTGTGACTACAGAAGAGCCCCGCGGACCCCAACGAACCAAGAAGAAATATCTACAAATCTGTATACAGTCCTGTTCCCGACGATAAAAAAAAGGATCGATCCCCTGCACTGCCAGTAGTCTACGCAGCAAAAGTGATTAAGCTATCATATGGGATAAAGTATTCAATCCGTGCTTTGGGGTTAGGGTTAGGGTTAGGGTTAGGGGTAGGGTCTGCGTGACCCCTCCCTATGCTTTTTCTAGATACTCTTAAAATCCTGCGCAGGCGGTGCTGCGCTGCTGTCGTTTCAGAGAGGCATGCGCACAGCAGTGACAGCAGAAACGTCTCTGGTAGATGCTCTGGCCATTGCACGCAGCTGCACTCGACGCCGCCGGCAGCGCGAAGAACTCGCTTTTACCCCGCGCCGGCCGTCTTCATTGGAACGGCTGTCAAAACCGACGGTAGCGCAGCCGTCAGCATGTTGCAGTCGGGGGCAAGGGTTCGGTGGAGCCCTTCCAGGACGGCCACGGTGATCACCTTAAGTGCCACCCTGGGCTCGAGTCTCACCTGCATTGTTGATATGCATATTCCGCCGCGTTTCACAACGTTTTGTTTTTGTGAAGATCGCCAGCGGGTGTGCGAAGACGAAATGGCGGATCTCAACGAAAACAATAGCAGCTACCGCCGTCAGGTTTAGAAAAGGAAGACAAGGAAAAACCAATACCACGTCTCGTGATTCACCGGCTTAAAAATTTGCGCCTTTCGAAGGTCTGTTCTTACGCCGCACTGGGTGTTGGAAAACACAGGAAAAGACAAAAAAACGTTGTATTTTTTTCAAGATTGCCAATCGCGATGCGGTTGTGCGAAGACCAAATGCTGGATCTCAAGTAACCGTTGTTCAGTATCAGACACAAAGACCAGGCAAATACCATGTCTCGTGATTCACCGGCTTAACACGTTTCGCCATTCGAAGGTCTTTTTTACGCCGCATTGAGTGTTGGAAAACACGGGAAAGGAAGAAAAAAAAGGCGAGAGGTCCCGGAGACGGAAACACCCACCCACCTCGTACTTCAAGCACAACCTGAAGATGCGCGCCAACAACTCCCCCGCCTGGGCCTCCCCAAGCCTAGCCCTCTGAATCGCTTCGTTCACGTCTTTGCAAAAGGCCTCAGGGTCGGTGCACCGCTGGTCTCTTGCCTGCGAAGATTAAAGAGCGACAAGCGAAACGCGAAACGCGCGGGGACACGTGTGTAGATGTAGCGTGAGCAAACCGTTTTCCCTTAGACAAGCGACTTATTTGCAGTACTCCATGGCGGCGGCACGGCGCGCAAGCACATGCAGCGGAGTAAGGATAGCCGTGAGCCTTACATGCTTTTGCCTCTTTGGTTTTTCTCTCCACGCCCTCTTTTACACGCGCACCCTCTAACTATACGTACGCCCGCGTTCTGGTACTAGATGTACCGTCATCCGCCCGCCGGTGCATGAACCTGGAAATACAAAGTTGAAACTTCTTCTGAACCTTCATCGATGAGATTAACGAAAGCGACTGACCTAAAAGTAGTAGCCCCCGAGCACACGAGAGGCAGGGGGTCCCGTGCCGTGATGCGGACCCTCCGTCCCGAAGAGGGGGGGGGGGATCTCTGTGGCCCCTCCCGGGTCAGGGTACCACCAGATAGACATGAAGATCTTGAGGCTCGAACTGCCCAACGCAATCGCCCAAACGGGCACCCGGGGGTTCTCTACCTCGACCACACGCCCTTTGCGCAAAAAGAGATGGAAATCCCGTGCCTACTGGAACTGGGCTCTTCTGACTCAATTTAAGACTACAGTATACACTGAATTTTTAATTAACAGTGATGCCACCGCTGGTGCTACTGTAAGCACTCTTTGTTCTCACCCGCTCGATGATCACCGAACCAGCCAGCTCCCCGTCGCCTACCATGACGGCGGAGAAGAGAACGCGTACTGTCTCCCTGTCTTCGTCGCCGAGACCGCATGCGAGACCACGCCAAGATCCCCCGCCCGTCAAGCAGGAGGCCCTGGTGCACGCGTTTAGCTTCCGTACATTGCTGCAAACCTGTGTCGGAAGCCTGTCCTGTCGGTCTTTGACCCATTGGGCAGTCTTTTTTCCCGGCCATGTTCGTTCATGAAAGGTCAGGAGAGGCGGGAGGCACAGGGATGGGGGAGGGTTAACGTGGGAAGGGTGGGGGGTGAACAATGCACCCGACCTGTGCGCACGCTAGGCCTTGGCCGATGAGGCCACACCACAGGCAAAAAAACATGAGCCAAGGCAAACGTCGGCTGCGCGTTTCTTAAAAATATTCAACTTCTGGAAATGCTGGTTGTATTTGCGTTAACGCTCTTTGCACAATTGTCAGCTACATGGTGGTCGACGAAAAACGATGAGGTCATCGGGTAGGGAGAGGGGTACGGCCGCGGCGGCGGCGGGGGGTGGGGGCTGTAGGCGAGAGTGGCGGCAACGATAGCGGCACCGCGGCGAGGGGAACCGTCGGCTCTGGTTGCTACGCACCAAGTACGCGGTGATAACGGCAGTGGGTTGCGTAAGATACCACACCCCCTGGACCGATTTTCAAAGCTCGAATACTCCACGACGAAGAGTTCCACGAATCAAACAATGTGTTTGTGCAAAAGTTTGTAGGAAACCTTTTCAAGGTTGAAATTCTCGGCACCGTCATTGCTTTTGCTGCCGAGGCATCGAACTCTTAAATCGGCCCAGGCCGTGTGTGTAGAATTGCAGGCAACCTCCGGAGGTATTTTGTATCCTGCTCGCGCGAAACATTTCAGCATTTTCTACTCTTGGTTTCATACAGAAAAAGCTCACCCTATAAATAAATGTGGGCCCGCTCCTGGCAAGGGCTTTCAACAGGAACGCCCACCACAGCTTTGAAAAGTGCGATGAAGTCTCCTCGGGAACAAGCGGCAGCTGGCATAGCACGCCCACCGCAGCTCCAGAAACAACGACAGGAGACCAGAGAAGCAACATCTCCAGGGACCAGAGGAGCCCCCTCAGCGTTTTCTTCAGCCTCGACCGCAAGTAATCCCACATCTTGGCCGACGGGCTGCTATCCCCATGCCTCTGGCTGTCGCGACGCTCCGGCAAGTTGGCAGGTGTCGCAGCTGCAGCGTACGGAGGAGTAAGGTTGGCACTCAGAGTCAGCATTGCTCCTCCCGCTCCGCCTGTTGCGACCGCTGTGATGGTCAAGGCTCTGGTCAAGGCAGGAGCCTTTTTGGCGGAAATTGCGCTGTGGTATCTCCTCGTTCTCATGCTCGCCATCTCTGCAGCGAGCGACCGCATCTTTCCTCCTTTCCTCCTGCACTGCTACATAAATACTCCGAGTATTAAATATCATCATGTGTACCCGAGGGTGCGGTCCAACTCACATCAAAGAGGTTCTAGATTCCGCGGAGCCCCCGAGCGACATCCACATCAAGACAGTCATGCATCACTCAATGCATGCACAATAATATGAATGCTCTCGCGCATGTACAGTGTACCCAATCTTCAGTCGAAACAAGGGCTACACTGCGACTCCAACAAAATGGATTTCCTCGCTACCGCCATTCTAAAGTTCTAAAATCGGTTCGGAATCCTGTTGCACCGCAATTGGAATATTTGCGCGATCGCCATTGTCTTACGTTTTCGTTTACGTTTGACTTTGGCTGGCCGACCTAGGCGCGGGGGTCAGTCAACCAGCAGGGTCACCGAGCTGCATTCGAGGTCGTACGTTTTTTTATGGGCGGGGCGGAGGTTTGGCTAGCCCAGCGGTCACGACTGCACGTTCGTGCGAACTCATCCCGCCAAGGCACGGAGATCCCACAGAACTTGTGCTGCAGCTGTACTGCTGGATGATGTATTTCAGGTGTCCTAAGGCCGACTTGCCGCGTTCAATGTGGTCCGAGAAAGACGCACAACCACTCAGCGCTCCGGGCTGGGCGCCAGGTTTCTATCGCCATCATGGAGATCACAACCGACATGAGTGTGATACATCATCTCGGAGATACTCCATACTGGAGCAAACTCTGCATGAATTCATAAGATGAAGCTGGATGCAACATACAGGGAGGGGGTGAGGACACTTTTATTTCTGCTTACAATCATCATGTGCAAGAAACACACATAATATCAAACGACAATCTACCGACGCCGGCTCCGCCTTCGTGTGATTCATCACAGGTAGTTCTGTCGCCATCGGCTACATTGTTCTCCACACCTCTTGCTGTGACAACCCGTCACAGACATGGTTCCGTGCATTCATCAAAAACGAAAACCATCATTGAATGCAGTTGGCCACGGCAAAGAGGTGGTGAATAATGAGGAACAAAAACGATACCACGCGTCTGTTGTCCACAACAAGCAAACAGCACGAGTGTGTTCCGTCGCCAACTACCGCCCCGCGCGAAACACAACAAAAAAAAACAGCACGAACACAACGAGGCGTAATTTGAGGCCGCGTGGGCACTACTGCTAAGGCACACCTTGTGCATCATGAAACAAAATCGAACGGCGGGATGATGATCCCCTATGCACAACAACAATTCTTTACTTCTGTACTGCCACCACATACGCAGGTGGCTCCTCCTCCTCTTCCTCCTCCTCCTTACGTCGAGGGCTTGTCGACCCTAAGAAAAACACTCCCTGGCGGGCGAAACGGACTCACACACACACACACGTCGGAAAAAAAAACGAACATACGAAACACAATTGTCATAATATTACAACACACTCAAATCTTCACAACGGTGCGTGCGCCCTCATGGGACCCTATCTCTCTGAAACCTCCCTCCCAGCAAGTAGCAGCAACAGCAGCAAGACACAAACACAAACATGCCCGGTCCATCGACTGGCACAAACCCGACCCACAGGCGAACACTACCACCACGTATTGACGCTAAAGCTATAACCGCCGTCACTGCTGTACGGTGCGACTCTCCAAAAACCGGAGCGTACTACGCGCGAGCCGCTCCGCTCGACTCCCTTGGTTCTCGATGAGTCATCGGCTGCTGAGCACATCGAATATCAACTCACGGCTCAAGACCTTGAATCCCTGCAAGAAACCGGCCACCGACATCAAACAGGGGGGGATACCCAAATGACGGGGAAGGCAAAGGGTGCGAGAGGGGGCAGGGAACGCAAGAGAAACACCGCTTGTGAGTCTTGCATGCCGCAGAACGAGCATCATTCTGAAGGTGGGAAGTTTTGTTACTCGCCAACGAAAGCTGATACACCAGTGCCATGTCGGCATCGTCGTGAGAACGTCATGTGGCAAAGAAGAAGACACGCCACATATGTCGACCAGCAATAGCAGCCTTACATTGCATCCTTTCGACGGCTAGCTTGTAACGGGCCCTACTGGCTGTTGCAATTTCAGCTTCAACGTCCTGCTAAACTGGCGTATTGTCCTGAGCGGGACGTCTCACTGGCCTGGCTTGCACACTACTCCATAGTATACGCACAAAGTGAACCAGTTCCGCACGTGAGCGAGATGCTTCGCCGGCTGTGCTTGCACACACTCAATCAACACTGTACGCGAATACCCCGCGTAGTATCCATCCATGCCATGAAGCGAAACACCTCCGCAAGCACAAACGAAAAACGCAGGACCCCTGTGGTGAAACTCCTCATCAGTCAGTCCACACGAGGGCGCGCAGGAAAGGGTTCCGAGACACGGAAGGCAGCGGCTGCACAGAGCCCATCGTGCACATTCATGAGGGATACGTTGTGTGACAGCCCACCTCTGATTTGGAGACGGTGTCGAAGTGTCGCACGACAAAACGCATGCAGATCTCACGCAGGCGGGTCGCGCGGAGGTCGTCGCTGGTGTGCAGGAGGGAGGCGGAGTTATCCGCGGTTATTCCCTTCTGCACGGCTAGCTCGCACAGTCCCTGCCGGGCAGGTCGAAGGGGCAATGAAAAGGAGATACGTCGTACACAGAAAAGTCTACATCAGAGGAGAAAAAAAATGTTCGTGGGGGGGGGAGGGAGTCGACGCATTCTTCTGACAAGATTTTCGGAAACGGAGGGTGGCAGGGGGGGCGAAGGAGCAATCGACCAAGGAACTTGGGAGACCTGCACGGAGCACGCCACGGGTCGATTGCACGTAGTCTAGGCCTTCCCCGCTCCCGCCAACCGGTGGTACCCTCCGGCAACGCTCGTTGTTCACACTACATATGTACCGATGCAAACTGGTCTCTGCTTTCAAAAAACCCGTCAACTTACGCATCAGCATCGCACACGTGGTGCCTTCGCTGGCGACACCATAAACCGAAGCAAAATGAACCCAGGCATGACGGATGAATGACACTTTCTACCTCTTCGTGAAACGTGTGCACACAGGCAGAGCGGAACTGGAGTAAATATTATAGCGGTGAGCGATTCTTTGGGCATCTCATACAAATGTAAACCAAGCGGCAAGGCCAAACATCCACGAATCCAATTCAGACCGCGTACAAGCATCATCGCGTTTTACCAAACACACCCCCAGTCGTCTTGTTTCACACGAATAAAAACACTTTGCGACAAAACGCAAGACATGGGCGAGAAAAAGCACGCAAGTGAGTAAAAGACCCCGTGAAAGATCCTTCCGCCCCTCGCCGCCTGCCGCCGACAAAACAAGCGTACCTTGAGACGATCTAACGTGTACTGGTCCGCTGCGATGAACAGCTCCACCGCGTCCTCGAGCGACACATCGACGCTGACAACGGCGCGGCAGGACGTGAGGGAGCCAAGGGAAGGAAAGAGGAAGCCAAAGCACGCACAGAAGAGGAGGTCAAAATAAAAAGGGCGGTCTACTACCGTTCACTCCCTCTCTTGTCTCTCCCTCACCCTCGCCCTCTCTCACGCTCTCTCTCGCTCTTTGCAAGTTCAGTACAGCAGGGCCATGTACTCTCTCTCTCTCTCTCTGCAAGATAAGTACAGCGGAGAGCATGGATAAACCTTGCAACAGAAATCTTGCTTTTCGATGACCGCCCCAAAGGCTCGCAGGGCAAGGCTCGGCTGGCGCCCAAAATAACGATCGAAAAGTGACAACACAGCACATGGCCACACAGACGTTCACAACAGACCACGGTTAACGCTACGGAAAAGAGGATCCAAAGCAGAAAAAAACAAAAAAAAAAAGCCAATACACCAGGACGGACCAGCGTCGATCCGACTACTGCTGTACCCGACGAAACGTACATGACCCAACTCAAATTGGCCAAGTGGCGTCTTTGGTTTTTGCACCTGTCGGCGTAGATGTACTCCAGGAGGACCTTGAAGATCGGTAGCCGGACGTGCGGGATGACCACCTCCTGCTCGTGGCTCTCCCGCATACCCGATGTGAACATCGCGCGGAAGTGCTGGCAGCGCGCCGCCAATAGAGCCTTCGCCCCGGGTCGAAACAAGGTGGTACACGCCGGGGTTTGCAGGCAGGAGAGGCGTCGGTAGGGAGGGGGAAGGCGAGTCGGGAAAGAGGGGGAACGCAGCAACACCACAACGAAATAAAATATTAAGAAGGGACTCGGGCAAGTTTAGCGAACGTTTTGATGGCACCACAAGGCGGACTCGAGGCCGAAACCGGAGTCGCATCGTCATGTACGCCATGCCGTGCGATGGAAGTCGCCGGTACTCTTCCAGTAAAACAGGAAGCTAACCATCTAGTACGCATGCACGTGCGCGTGCACGCGTGCCCACAAAGAGAAACACAGCTCTGGCTCCGTGCTCGCCATCCCCGCCCCCTCCATGCGTTGCCGACGACCTGTACACACCTTGTGTGCATACACCGGACTTCCCTCCACGACGAAAGTAACGTCTGAGAGGTCCTGGTTGTCGAGGAGTGATCGGATGTCCGTCATGAACGACGAAGACATGGAACTCAATGCCGGCGTGGACGAGCTCGCTCCCGCCAACGCTGCCGTGTGCTCGTTGTACGACGCCACCTTCAGGTAGGCGTTCAGACGAAAGCACCACAGGGGGGGATTAACAGAAGCAGCAGCAGCAGCAGCAGCAGCAGCAGGAGGAGGAGGAGGAGCCACGCTGAGGTGTACACATGCCAACCCAGCACGCAAAGCGCGTCGGCGGCGATGGTTGAGGCTCTGCACAGAATATGTGAGGCCACGGGACTGTTGTTTCTACACGACCGTAGGAATGCGCCGTTGTAAAGGCATGGCTCTGGCACGTGGACAGCTCCCGTCCCACACAAACGCTGCTATCTCTTCCCCAATCACCAGAAAAATGTTGTCTCTTTCGGGTGGGTGGAACCACGTCCACACCTTCCCGTAACCCACAAGGTGTAACTGCCGGAGGTAATAGGGATACTCCATCTCTGCTTCAGAACAGCAGTATGTAGAATACATAGCGGCAGTGCTCGCCCACACACACACTACTACAAGACTGACAATCTCTCATTGATCAGCCGAATAGCGCGGTCAGTACTAAGCACAGAAACACACACACAAACATACATATGGAACTCTCCACTCACGGAGACCCGGGTCACGGCCGTTACAACATTTTCCCCGTTTTCTGCCGCACACTGAGACTGACGCCATTGCATTGGTCAGCCGGGTAGCGCGGTCGATGCAAGTCCAAGAAACACACACACAAACACAAACACACACCTTGACGACGTGCATTTTGACGAGCCCGGCCACGAGGGTAGGCACCGAGACTTTTCTCACATCCCCGTGGCCCAGCTTGCCATGGTCCCCGTTCCCGAAGGTGTAAACCTACCGATACGCACGGCACCAACACACGAGACAAGAAGCGGTTGGAACAACAGTAGGAACGCGCCCAGAGGGTACACCAAGGTACAATAAGAACAGAAGCCGGCGGTTAAGCGAACAGGTAAAGGCGAAAATGAGATCTCGAGGTAAAATACCAAGCAAAGCGGGTGCGCCCCGTGTTAACGACGTTGATAACTGTTTAAAAACACAAGCCATTTGCGACGAGAGCGGAAGCACAAAGCACGGCCCTCTTTTCGTTTTTCCCAGACACGGGCGGAGCTCACGTTGGCCTGCCCAGGGCGAAGAAGCCGTCGGCCGCAAACAAAAAAATAACGTACGGCAAACACGAGCACTGCCATGTGACCCCCCCCCTCCCCCCCTCCCCCCCCCCCCTTTCCCCCTTCCCCTTCCCCTCCCCCCCCCCTTTTTTCCCCCCCCCCCCCTTCCCTCCCCCCTCTTCTTCCCCCCCCCCCCTTCCCCC